AAACATCATCCTCTCCATTGCTGCTAACATCTTCAGGAAGATCATCTTCATTGACTATTTTTCCTTCAAATATCTCTAATCAATATGAACTTCCCCAAAATCAATTCCTGGAGCAATAATTTTAACTTGCTGAATTGCTTTCGCAAACCCTCTCTTATGTTCAACAACTACTTGATATTCTATGGCCGCAAGTTCTTTACTTAATTCTTGACTTTTCTTGTCCAAATCTGAAATCCTCTTCATGTTAGTGAGTATAATATCTTGAGAAGTTTTGTCCTTTTCTTTTAATTCTTGAACTTCATTCTGTAATTTCTGAGCATGTTCTTCACTGTTTTTAACCTTTGCCTCCAACTTGGAGAATATTCTTCTTTGTGATTCCTTTTCTTCTTCCATTATCTTTATCTTGTTTAATAATTCTTCCACCTTAGCCAAGTAGGATTTATTAGATCTCACTGATATTTCGAAGGCCTTGGTGGTTTCTCCTAATTTCTTTTTCACCTCTACCAACTCAGCCTTCAACGGAGCAATTTGAGTGTTCTCTCCTTTTAACTTATTCATCTAAACAACATTCTTCTCCCATTTTTTCTTCCAGTGATCAACCATCAATATGGATCTCTGTAAAAATACTTGCACAAAATCCAATCCTTGCACTGGACCAACTTTTCAATCATTGCTTTATCAACAATATACATAGGGTCTTCTTTGTAAAAATTCTTTGCGGTGAGCTTTGCATTTCATAGTGATGTGACATCTGGAGACATACTTATATGATCTAGTCTCTCAAGAGGGTGGCTAGAATCATAGCTTTGATGCAACATCCTAGGACGAGCAAAAGGATCAACATGAGGTTTCCTAGTTTGTGGTTGAGGAGATGAAAATATGAGTTAGGCAATCAAAGCTTGCAGACTTGAAACCTGATCCTCTGAAGAACTGGTTGGAATGACCACATTTTTTGGCTTTGAACTCTACAACAATCAAAATTAAGTTAAGAATATTAGTCATAATAAAAATGAATATTGAAATTAAGTATATCATACTTACTGATCTGGAACCAAGGTCATTGGTAGACTTTTGATTGATATTTTCTTGACCGACTTCAAGTTTAGCCGTATCAATGATACTTACATTTGCCTCACCATCATGAACCAAACTAGTAGGTTGGTGATCAACCTTATGTTTAGGAATCTCGACATCAACAATTTGTTTTTTGGTCTCGGTTCTTTGTTTTTTCCCTCGATGAGTAGGGATGGGGTTCATGTCTGGAATCTCTATCTCTTCCGTGTTAAACTTGGCTTTTAATTCACGTCATTTACTCTTTCCCATAATTTCTGCACACATTAAAAATAATTAGTGACATTGTTAATAAATTTAGACACATAACTAACAATTATAAATATCGTGATTATCTTTGCTTTTAATTCACGTCATTTTCTCTTTCCCATAATTTCTGCACACATTAAAAATAATTAGTGACATTGTTAATAAATTTAGACACATAACTAACAATTATAAATATCGTGATTATCACTTACTTTCTAAATCTTCTCGAAGGTTTTTCGACTTAGAAAGTGACAGGATAGCTTCTAGAGATTGAGGTAATATTTGTAGTTTTTCTATATTCTTCACCTCGGATTGAGTTAGTTCTAAACCCTCTGTACTGGAATATTTTAGAGGCTGGGATTTCCAATAAAAAGGAAATCTTGGCTCACCCCTCAAATGGAAAATTGTATCCAAGCTCAGATCGTCACATACAAGATGAACCTTAAAGAACTCCTCCTTAACATTTTTGTAGGATTGGGTAAAAATTTGAAATAATCCTCCTTTGGAACTTCCACTTAAAGACACCCATGCAAAGGGTGCTTCACTAAGCTTCAATTGGTAGAAGTACATAAACCTAGCTAAACTTAATTCAATACCTAGAACCGAGCATAATATTTGAAAAGTCTGCCGAAAACCCCAACTATTTGGGTGTAATTGACTCGGAGCCACATTAATCTTTTTTAAAAATTCATATTCAAAAGGAGTAAAAGGGATTAATATGCCTAGGTCTTTGAACAGACAGTGATACATATATATACAAGGCAACTAAAATGAATGGGCAAGAAATACTCGTTTGTTAAGAGAACGCGGTTCAATAATAATTTGCTCTAGAAGAGGAGGTAGACCAAATCTTAACTTGTGTTGTAATACAGTCACTTCTATCATAGACTTTAACTTACTACAGTACTTGCCAATGTCCCCTCTAACCCATTCAAACCTAGGGGTGAGAATTCTAGGATGGGAGTCATTCTTGTTATTTCCACCTCTATGGCGAACCTTCAAAGTACTAATATTGGTATCGGGCTTTGTACCCTTTCCCTATTCAATCTTCTTATTTTTATCCATTAGTGTGACCCTATCTAGACTTGGAGAAGAAGAGAAAGCTTCGTCATTACTTCTATCCCCCAAAATAAAAAAAATAGAATAAAAAATCGAATAGGAAATGTTATGGCTAATACCTTCAGATGTGGTGAACTTGTAAAATCTTCTCAGCTTCAAAAATGACAGATGCGGAGGATAAAAGCAAAGGAAGGAGTATTCAAAAATGGAAAACCCAACGATAATGACTATTACTGAAATCCTTCACTTAATGTAGTCACTTCGCACCCCCTCCAGCACAACATACGCCTTTTTGGGTTTTGCACTTTTAAATGAGGGGTTATCATTCCCAGGAGTTATGAAATGAAAAGACACATTTCAAAATCCATTTTAAAAATTCAATAATTGTGACGATACAAGTTAGGGAGGTGTAACGCTTCCTAATTTATTGGTTAATAAGTGTAATGTCATGATTAGTTATAACTATTAATGGATATAATCATATGTAGCCTTTCATTAACCTTTTTCGCTCCCTCTAGTGCTCAGAGCTTGTAGGGCTTATGTACTTACCTTGTTGGCATTAGGCCGAGGTGACAACATGCAAAATTCGACCGAGATCATTTTATAATTTGACATTGGACGGAGTACAACCAAGATCAACTCATGCGTTAATCTTAGACATTAAGTTTATTTGATAATCCAATTTATTTTATTATATAAAGATAAATCTTGGTTAATTCAATTACGAGTAGCTTGTGTAAGATAGCCGTAAAAAATAGTTATATCAAAAAAAGAAATCGATGATAACGGATGGTCTTTTCTATAGGTAAATACAGATTATTTTACAAGAGAAAGGGGAATTTTTTTCTAATTTGATCGTCGAATTCCTTTTTGGAGGTACCTCCATTGTTCTTGGACAACGAAGACTTCAGTGTCGTTTTCAAAGGCTGATGATAGTGGATGATCTCGTTGACTGATCTTACTTTTGTATGAACAAGTATTATCATAGTTATTTTAATTTTTTAAAATAGGAGTTGGTTATTAAAAGTATGTCAAATGAGATAATTGAAATAATTAATTTTTTTAATAAGTTTAACCTCTTTCATCATAGTCTGTGGGTGGATGTACATGAGTTGGCCTTTTAATAAAAAATAATGTTATTTATTTTCTCTTTGTGACATTGTATATACACTCGGTACTCTTGAGATTACTTCATGTACAACAAAACATTTTTTCAGGTTGTAAATTGTTATAATAACTATTTTAATTTGTTAAAATATGAGTCAGTTATTTAGAATATATTAAATTAGATATAGGAAATATTTAAAATATTTTTTTTATACAATAATCATTTTTCATTATAGATTTATACTTACGACATGTGCATGAGTGTACACCAACATATATGACTATACATAAATTGCCATTTTAATAGAAAATGATTCACTTTTTCCTCTCTTTCTATCATTGTATATATTTAAAATTTTAAAATTTTAATAAATTGAGTAAGCTATATTTTATTATGTAAACTCGAAAACAACTCACAATAACGTATTTAAAAATAAATTTATTAATTTTCAAAAATTAAATTTAATAACTTAAATTAACATTATTAATATAAAATAGATTTTTAAAATAAATTAATATGACATACCAGATTTTAAAAAGACCAGACTAAACTTATAAAAAAAAATATGATAGATGTACTATCTGTATCGTGAAGCCGAACTCGAGCTCGACACTAAAGCACTAAATGACACCGGATATACGTCACACGACATCGGTCAGAGCAAAGGTTCACTACATATCGGGCCGAGACCAACCTCAGGCCCAAATCAACGTTACCCTCGCATAAGAGGAAAATCCTAATTCACATCAAGGTACGTGCATTATATATACGAGACGATTATACTATTAAAGACTAACTTTAGTATCGGAGTCTTTTTTGCAGTCGACGTACCCAGCAAAGAAGGCTTACCAATCTTGCCTAGCAGATCGTCCCCCTTGACCGATCTCCGGTAATGGATAATATGTTAGACTTAGATTTCAATTTTATACAGAACCGATCTATATATTCAAAATTTAGTCTGATCTATTTTTATCCCTATTTTACATGTAGCATCGGAGTGTATTTTTGCATACAAATTAATAAATTTTTTTAGTGTACCTTTATATTTTAATTTGAATAGTGAATTATTTGCATTAATCTAATAGTAAAAGTTAGAACAGTATCCTCACAATCAAACTAGTTTTTTTTAGTCATTTTTAAAAAATAATTAATGACTCTTTCTAACCAATTTATAGTTACTATTATACCCCAACTCTAAATGAATAAACTTGGATTGATCGATTCAACCTATTAATCCAAGACTCAGTCACCTAATCAGTCTGAGTTGCATATTGGATTGAACACTTTTGAACTCGTGCAATCTGATTCTGTTTTGAAAACAAATCGGTTACTCGACCCAGCTGAGTCATGCATGATTAAGTTTTATTCCAAAAAGTCATACGATGTCGTTTTATAATTAAAAATGAAAATTAAGAAATAAGAAGTGTTTTTAGTCGTGCTCTCCCAAACCCTATACGAGTTACAGGTTATGAAGTTAAAAAGTAAAATATAATACGGTGTCGTTTCAATTGTTTAGAATTAGGGTTGTGCACACCAGATACAAGCCCACAAAAGTATAACCGTTTTGCTTGCTCGTCTTGGAGGAGCAACCACGCTGAGACCCCTTTGCCCAGAATCGTGCAATTCATCACGAAATCGCGATTTTTCGATTCCATCAGTGATTCGGAATCATTGGGTCCGTGATTACTAACTACCATTATCCGAAGTAGTAAGTTATTATATTATACGAATGCCATAATTTCATGTTAAAATGCAACATTTATCCTGTTATTTAGGCACTATACTGTTAATTCTGTCTATGCAAATTTTCTTGTATATTTTCATTCCTGCTTTCACTTTTCAATTTTTAATTATTCAACTGTTATTTTGTTTTCAATTTTCAAAGATTTGTACAGTAGACACCCAAATTGACCTTTTCTTTTTGTTCTCTGATACATTTCTCCCACAACCAAAGCCAATTTGCGGATGCTTCATGCCTGGGACTAAATGCATTCTAAATTTTCTGAGAACTAAAGTCATAATGTAAATGCTTGTGTTTTAGAGTACAAAAATTGGGATTTACTCAAAGATAAGTTAAATAAAATGATCTCAAACATGCAGGCAGCTATATATTGCTGTGGTTGGTAAAATACTAAGAAGCCAGCAGTTGGCTTTGTGACTTTGGTTTTGTGTTTTTCAACTTTTTTGATTTCGTTCCTCTTCTCCCTCTTTTGTAATACTTACAGCTGCTGGTAATGACAGATTGATTTGTTTGCTTATTTATTTTTCAACCAAATTTGTGGTACATAATGATCTACTACCGAACTTGTTGAATTTGCAGTGGTTGCATTTGATAATTGGGAGATTTTATTCACCAGGTTTTCATCACTATACAAATAAAACAGTAGATTAGATCCATTTGCTTGAGTTCAAATTGAAGGAGAAAATATGGCTGGGCAAACAAACCATGAGCTTTCACTGTTTTCAGCAGAGGAGGTATAGTATTGTCATATCTTTTGTTTGTCTAATTGACATTGTTTAAAATTTGTGAATATTTATTGATATATTATGGTTTTGTCTGTCACTCAGCTTGAGTTCATTGCTGAGGATGAGACCGTGGACATTGTACCCAATCTAAAAATGGGTCCTCTCAATTTCATTTCTGTAAGCAATAATTCAAACACCTTAGCAGCGGTTCTATTAGCAGATACATACACATTAACCTTTCTTATTTATTAACAATGGCAGGGAGATTTTGGCCCATTTACACCACAGATTGTTACACAAGTCCCATTGTGGCTGGCCATTGCTCTCAAGAAGAGAGGCAAGTGCTCCATTCGCCCTCCTCAATGGATGTCTGTTGGTGAGCTTTCTCTCTTATTCCTCCCTTCCACTCCCAACATTCTAACAATGACAATGTTTTATCTGTGGACAAACTCATAAGTTAGAGGTGTTGAATTGTAAAATTAAGGTTTTTTGTGGAATGTGTTCATAATTTATATTTTTGTTTCAACAATTTCATGCTAGCTTTACCCTGTTTTACTTGACATGCATTAAAACTGCAAGCTTGTGTGTTAAATGCTATATTGGGTCATGGTATTCAACTGTATGTTCTTATACTGCTTGATTTTGCTCATGACTGGAAATCAGCTGGTTTATAATGTGAATAACTTTTATATTTAAAATTTTTCCTTTTCTTTGGTTGGTCTATACTTGATGTAGATATGGAGATTAGTGCTGCTTTGTTTTTTTTTTCTTTGGCTGGTTTAAAATTCATTGGGATTATTATGGTTGTGACTGTGTTAAGGAAAAAGTAGCAGTAAATATAGGCTTAACATTACTCCAATATTTTGTTTGTGACTAGAGAAGTTGACTCAAGTTTTCGAGGCAGAGCGAGAATCACAAGAGATGTCAGATCAATTGCCATTTCATTATGTGGAAATCTCAAGACTTCTTTTTGACCAGTAAGCCTAGAGACATTAATATCTTATTCCTTTAGAAACTGTTAGTTTTCTGTACTAACCTACTTTTCTTTTAATCTTTAGTGCACGTGACAACATTCCTGATGTTCATATGGTGAGTGATGAGTTTAAAAAAGTTGCACCTGTGATGCTCCAGGCTTTTCTCCTGATGATGGTGACTTATTTCTTCTGTACAGGTGAGGCCTCTGATTGAGGACATCCGAAATCTAAGGTTTCATAAAGTTCAGACTGACTTGGAAGCATTTAATGGTCGAACAATTGCTGTTAAGGTAATATTTCTATTTTTGGAGGTTTATTTGTTTGTAGAGGTCTGAATTCAGCTCTGATTGTAAAATGCATGTTGTTTTGAGTAGGATTTAATTTGATCTACTTAAAGAATTTTACACCTCCATCATACCATGTTGTATATTTCATTTGCTCCAGTGATTTATTTTTTCCTGTTTAGTACTAGGATTTATAGTTTTACACTAACAAGCAATCATTTGAATTCATCAAGTTCAAATTTAAACTTGTTTTGGTCCTTGTTGGAAAGTAGGTATATCCGTATATGACCATTCTCTGTCTAAAAAGGTAACTGACCAACAACTTACATGATTATGTTTCTTCCCTCATTTGTGCTTCTGCTAAACAGAGTTTTTCAAGAAAGTTTCCTTCTCACTAAATTTAAGAAAACAAAAAGTGGAAGGATGTGAGCATAATAATCTTGTAATTAGCAGTAGGATTTATAGTTTTACGCTAACAAGCAATCATTTGAATTCATTAAGTTCAAATTTAAACTTGTTTTGGTCCTTTTTGGAAAGTAGGTATATCCGTATATGACCATTCTCTGTATAAAAAGGTAACTGACCAACAACTTACATGATTATGTTTCTTCTCTCTTTGTGCTTCTGCTAAACAGAGTTTTTCAAGAAAGTTTCCTTCTCACTAAATTTAAGTAAACAAAAAGTGGAAGGATGTTAGCATAATAATCTTGTAATTAGCAGTAGTATCACAACAATCAAAACCAGGATAGATTTTAAATTTCGAATCTTAAGTTTGTTTTGTGCTGCATGTTTCATTCATATTAGGACGTTGATATAGTGAATGCACTAAACAAGACAATTCGTTCCCCTCATAGACGGCCACTACGTGATGTAGTTGATGTCATATACGGCATTCTTCTTAGAGAGTCTCATAATTGCCTCCATAATCATAAAATTATTTTCAAATTGGGAGTGGGGAAAGATTAGGATGTTTCACTTGACTTTTAATAACTGCTTCAACAACATGATGAATTTACCTTCGTTAAGTCTTTTTGTAGTGTTTTGGTATGAGTGAGAAGCTGGCTGGAGAACACAGGCCATTAGTCTCATTACTCGTCTATTTATTTGTCTGTTTGCAATGCACCTCATTACATGTTCTTGTATATTGCAGATAAAAAATTTATCAGCAATGGAAGTGAATATTGTTCGTCCATTTATTGGAAGAGCTTTACAGGCATTTTATAAGCATGATAGCCCAGAGTTGATACCAGACCCAGAGAGAGTTTCTGACAGGCGCCCCCAAGATGTCAACAATGCCCCAAGAGTATGTTTTATATACACTTGGCAATATTTTCCGCATATACATAACTTCTGTTTATGCTTCAGATGACTAGGAAATTTCTTTGAAGCTATAGATACCCTTTTACAGTCCTATTCATTTTTTATATCATTGATACAAATTCATAATGTCTAAATTATAATTGATGATATAGGGAAAAAGGTTTGGTATATCACATGCATTATCTCATTCAAAGGAAAGACTTTTAATGAAATTGATATTATTGCTTTGCAGAGACAACTACGAAGATAGTCGTGTATCACCTTTTTGGTAACATCTCTTCTAGAATCGTTGTATCTGGCCAGCTTCAAAGGTGCATCTCTTCTTAAAAATACTTCTCAGCTATCTTTGTTGCTGAATTCACTGTAAAAGAATAGCTTGAGGCCTAGTTGGATCTTCAGAAAGCAATGTGGTTCCTCCGAAAATATTCTCATAATTATTTTTTAAGAACTATGCACTTCATTGGAATTAGCATGGTTACACTTACACCCATACACTTGTATGTAGTTAATTCTATTATTAGTATTAAATATTTAATGTCAATCTTGTACTTGCTATTCTAGTTAGAAATTATAATTGAGAATGAAATATAAATGACTTGGGAGGGAGGGAGGGGGAGGGGGCAGATCCTCCACAGTTTTGAAAAAACTGGATGAAATCAGTCATCCTTTATTTTTACTATTTGATAAATTTACTCATTAAAAAAAATAATAAAAATATATTAATGATTGAGATTCTTTCAATTGGACACTCCAGTTTTTCCAATTGTAGGGACGATTTATAGTTCCGGTCTATTATTGGAAGGGAAAAGGAACATTGCCTGGCACCTGATTATTATGGATAAAACTTGCATGCTGAATCTGTTTAGATAGAAGTTTATAAATTATTTTGAGAATTTTTCTACTGAAAAATATTCCTTATTTTCAGTAGAGAAATTTTCAAAAATGTTTATAATTTGTATCTAAAGTGACAATATGTCATGTTATGCGATTTATATGCTATCGCAGGATTTGACAATTTCTTTTTTGTGCCTTAGACTGACGGGGTCGTTAAGCTTTTTTCTGAAATGGAGAGGGTCTGCAAATCTTACGAAGGAACGAGTGATAATCAAATGCTGATACATGTTTAACTATTAATGCTTTACAACCATGCGAATTGCTTGTTTACTATCAAACCATAAACCAACATTTACTAACAAGAAATGTGCTCATTCATCCATGGAAAATCCTCCTCTTTGTTAACGTGATATAACTTAATATAACTAGTAGAGTTGGGTCCAAAAAGGAGTTTAACCTAACTCTGCTCCACTTAACATATTTCGATGTGCATCATAATGTGCAAAATATTATGTTCTCGGAAAAAAAAATGACCAAACAGTAAACTTGTTGCTCGAAGGTATTTTTTTTCTCTTATTTATACATGAGTATCAACTTGATATCAAAGGGTTTATAACACTCAATTACCTTTCTTCTATCAACTGAGTTATATCCCAATTCATACTCACATATCGTTTGATGGAATAAAAAGAGCACCGATGAGAGAAACAAGTTATTAATGGCTGGTTTAAAATTCATTGGATCATTATGGTTTGTGCGTCAGGAACCAAGGTATCAAATAATTAAGGTGGTTGAACTAGTACTGATATTTATCTATGAATAGAGGAAAATTCCTCTATATACAGTGGAAAAATTTGGAACCAGAGACAACCAAGAATGGAAAAACGGAGGGCTAGTAGCAAGTCTTCATTTTTTATCAGGAACCAGAAGTGGAGTGGTCCAATGGATTAAGTAAAGAGGTCCAGTGGAGTGCCTCTTCTCCCTCTCTTGTACTACTTACAGCTGTTGTTAATGACAGACAGATTTTATTCTTTTTTTTTTTTTCAACCCAAATTTGTAGTAGATAATGATATACTTCAAAGAACCACTAGGGTGGGCCTAGTGGTGGGGGGTTGGGGTAGTATTTACGGGGTATTAGGTTTGCCCCAGGTGCCATCTTTGTAATTCTGATGGATATAAAAAAAATGATATACTACTGAACTTGTTGAGTTTGCTGTGGTTGCGTTTGTTAATTATGATATTTATTCACCAGGTTTTCTTCTCCATACAAGAAGAATATTAGATTTGATCCATTTGGTTCAGTTCAAATTGAATGAGAAAAGATGGTTGGGCAATCAAACTATAAGCTTCCTCTGTTTTCAGCAGAGGAGGTATGCTATTATAGCTTATATTTCTTTAATTGACATTGTTTAATTTTTTTTAACATATTATGGTTTTTCCTGTCAGCTTGAGTTCGTTGCAGAGGATGAGATTGTGGACATTGTACCCAATCTCAAAATGGGCCCTCTCAATTTCATTTCTGTAATCAATTATTTAAACACCTCAACGTTGGTTCATTTTTCTGATACATTACATGTACATTACGCTTTCTCTTTCTTATTTATTAACAATGTCTGGGAGATTTTGACCATTTACGCTACAGATTATTACTCAAGTCCCACTGTGGCTGGCCATTGCTCTCAAGAAGAGAGGCAAGTGCTCCATTTGCCCTCCTTAATGGATGTCTGTTGGTGAGCTTTCTCTCTTATTCCCCCCTTCCCATCCCACCAATCTAACAATGACAATGTTTTATCTGTGGACAAACAAGTTAGAGGTGCTGATAGTAATATGAAGGTTATTTGTAGAATGTGCTCATAGTTTAGATTTTTGTTGAACAATTTCATGCTAGTTTTTCCCCGTTTTACACAATATGCATCAAAACTGCAAGCTTGTGTGTTAAATGCTATTTTGGGTCATGGCATTCAACTTTTTTGTTTTTACATTGCTTGATTCATGACACAGGAAATTAGCTGGTTTATAATGTGAATAACTTTTCTGTAAAATATTTTCCTTTTCTTTGGGTGGTTGATACTCATGTAGATATGTAGAGTAGTGCTGCTTTTTTTTTTCTTTTTTTTTTTTTCTCTCTCTCTCTTTGGCTGGTTTAAAATTCATTGGATCATTATGGTTTGTGCGTCAGGAACCAAGGTATCAAATAATTAAGGTGGTTGAACTAGTACTGATATTTATCTATGAATAGAGGAAAATTCCTCTATATACAGTGGAATATAAGAGAAATATCCAACAGAGAAATATATATATATATATATATATATATATATATATATTAGCCTCTGTAAAAAATTCTTATCGATTTTAAATCATGAAAAGTTGAGTCTTTTGTGTTTTAGTCTTGAATGTTGTCTTTCATTTCTATAATATTTAATCTATCTTGACTTATTCATATACAATAATGATTAACTTAACATGGATAATGAATAAAAAAATAACATAGATAAAATGTGATAGATATTAAAATCAAACAATAAAGACTATGAAAAAAAAAATATTTTTTCAATAACTAAAACCGAATAACTATTTTATATAAAAATTAAAATCGAAAAAAGCATATATTACAAAGACAAAAAATTATTCAAATGAATAAGAAAAAAAAAAAACTGAAAGTTTACAACATAGACTAAAGCAGTGATAGAATTAAAAGGTGCAAAAATGCTTTACTGGTCCCTCTACTCTCCAAACCCTACTCACCCTAGACTAGAGTCCGATTGGTTCAGTGTGAATTGTTAATCACATATGAAAATTAATTTTGAGCGTAGAATTATAAATTTAGGTAAATAAAATTTTAAAATTAATTTTATTTAAATAAAAAACTAACAATAATTACTTAATTTTCATGATTTAAAATCAATTTTGTTAATAGCATGTTACAAATTAATTCTAACCATTTTAACGAGGCACATAGTTAACCGCTAAAATTTCAAGTCCATCAGAGACTGAAGCAGTGAAAGAAGTTTGGTGGCAATGGCAACTCTTAATTCCTCCTTCTACCTTTCCAATCTTCTCTGGTGATGCTTCTCGATTCACATAAACGCTTCTCATTCACATTTTCTCAAACCCTAATTTCCAATTCACTATTCCTCATTTTTTCTTTCTCAAACTCACCCTCATGCAATCAATTATACATCGTGCTATTGTTGTTCCTCATTCCCGTTGCATATTATCTTGTGCCTCTTCAAATTTGTGTTCTTCTCTTGGAACTAGACACTTTTCCCATAAACAACAATGTGAAGAAGAAATTACCAGATACATGAACATTCTCGCTGCAAGACTTGGCAAAGGAAGCAGCGAGGAAGAAACCCTTCAAACCCTATTCAGTGACCGAGCTTGTGATGCCATACCCCTCTCCCAGAAGCTTGTTCACCACTTGCTAGTGCGATACAAGGATGATTGGAAATCTGCATTGGCGGTATTCAAATGGGCCGGTTCGCGATCGAGCTTTGAACATTCGCCGGAGTCTTATGATATGATGGTAGACATTTTGGGTAGAATGAAGGTTATGGAAAAGTTGAAATTTTTATTGGGAGAAATGCGTGAAGGGGGTTTTGTCACTTTGAATACTGTGGCCAAGGTAATGAGACGGTTTGCTGGGGCAGGGCAGTGGGTAGATGCTGTGAGGGTGTTTGATGAATTGCATACTTTTGGGTTGGAGAAGAACACAGATTCCATGAACTTGTTGCTGGATACCTTGTGCAAAGAGCAATTTGTGGAACAAGCTCGTGAGATTTTCTTGGAGCTGAAGCAGCACATTGCTCCGAATGCTCACACGTTCAACATATTCATTCATGGATGGTGCAAAGTCTGCCGTGTGGACGAGGCGCATTGGACGATCCAAGAGATGAAAGGGTATGGTGTTCGCCCTTGCGTTATAAGCTATTCCACCATCATTCGGTGTTACTGTCAAGAAGGGAATTTCAGCAGGGTGTATGAGCTTCTTGATGAAATGCAGGCTCAAGGTTGCTCCCCAAATGTGATAACTTACACTACTGTGATGTGTGCATTGGCAAAGGCTGAAAAATTTGAGGAAGCTTTGGAAGTAGCTGAGAGAATGACGTCTTCTGGATGTAGGCCTGATACACTTTTCTGCAATTCGTTCATTTATACATTGGGGAGAGCAGGAAGAGTAGATGAGGCTAACTATGTTTTCAAGGTGGCAATGCCTAAGGCTGGTGTTGCCCCAAATACATCTACTTATTCTTCAATGATTTCTATGTTATGTTATCATGCACAAGAAAAGAGAGCTTTTGAAATACTTAAGGAGATGGAAAATTCAGGCAATTGTAAGCCTGATCTTCAGACTTACCACCCATTAATCAAGTCTTGCTTTAGAACTGGAAATATAGACAGTTTGTTGAATGACATATTAAATGACATGATTAATAAACATCATCTCAGTCTTGATCTTTCGACCTATACACTGCTAATTCACGGGCTTTGTAGGGCAGATCGATGCAATTGGGCATTCTCTCTGTTTGAGGAGATGATTGATCAGGATATAATACCTAGATACAGAACTTGCCATTTACTATTGGATGAAGTCAAGCAGAAAAATATGTATCAAGCTGCTGAGAAAATTGAGGATCTGATGAAAAATTTGTGAATGCTCAAGTATTTTATTTGTGTGCCCACAATACCTTGATGCACCTTATTTTAACTATTTGATACAAAACCATGACAACAAAAGAAGATAATGACTTGAAATTTTTTTATTAGTGTATCATAGGCTCAAGTGCTCACATTTCTTATCTGCTAAGCCTTCTAGTGCTCAGACATTTTTTGAATATTAGTATTTTATATGGTAATGGCAGCTCTTTACAATTGCAACCTGAGTATGACCTAGATCAAGTGGTCTGGGAATGGAAAAGAAACAAGAATGGTTGCGGCCATAAATTTGGAACCAGAGACAACCAAGAATGGAAAAACGGAGGGCTAGTAGCAAGTCTTCATTTTTTATCAGGAACCAGAAGTGGAGTGGTCCAATGGATTAAGTAAAGAGGTCCAGTGGAGTGCCTCTTCTCCCTCTCTTGTACTACTTACAGCTGTTGTTAATGACAGACAGATTTTATTCTTTTTTTTTTTTTCAACCCAAATTTGTAGTAGATAATGATATACTTCAAAGAACCACTAGGGTGGGCCTAGTGGTGGGGGGTTGGGGTAGTATTTACGGGGTATTAGGTTTGCCCCAGGTGCCATCTTTGTAATTCTGATGGATATAAAAAAAATGATATACTACTGAACTTGTTGAGTTTGCTGTGGTTGCGTTTGTTAATTATGATATTTATTCACCAGGTTTTCTTCTCCATACAAGAAGAATATTAGATTTGATCCATTTGGTTCAGTTCAAATTGAATGAGAAAAGATGGTTGGGCAATCAAACTATAAGCTTCCTCTGTTTTCAGCAGAGGAGGTATGCTATTATAGCTTATATTTCTTTAATTGACATTGTTTAATTTTTTTTAACATATTATGGTTTTTCCTGTCAGCTTGAGTTCGTTGCAGAGGATGAGATTGTGGACATTGTACCCAATCTCAAAATGGGCCCTCTCAATTTCATTTCTGTAATCAATTATTTAAACACCTCAACGTTGGTTCATTTTTCTGATACATTACATGTACATTACGCTTTCTCTTTCTTATTTATTAACAATGTCTGGGAGATTTTGACCATTTACGCTACAGATTATTACTCAAGTCCCACTGTGGCTGGCCATTGCTCTCAAGAAGAGAGGCAAGTGCTCCATTTGCCCTCCTTAATGGATGTCTGTTGGTGAGCTTTCTCTCTTATTCCCCCCTTCCCATCCCACCAATCTAACAATGACAATGTTTTATCTGTGGACAAACAAGTTAGAGGTGCTGATAGTAATATGAAGGTTATTTGTAGAATGTGCTCATAGTTTAGATTTTTGTTGAACAATTTCATGCTAGTTTTTCCCCGTTTTACACAATATGCATCAAAACTGCAAGCTTGTGTGTTAAATGCTATTTTGGGTCATGGCATTCAACTTTTTTGTTTTTACATTGCTTGATTCATGACACAGGAAATTAGCTGGTTTATAATGTGAATAACTTTTCTGTAAAATATTTTCCTTTTCTTTGGGTGGTTGATACTCATGTAGATATGTAGAGTAGTGCTGCTTTTTTTTTTCTTTTTTTTTTTTTCTCTCTCTCTCTTTGGCTGGTTTAAAATTCATTGGATCATTATGGTTTGTGCGTCAGGAACCAAGGTATCAAATAATTAAGGTGGTTGAACTAGTACTGATATTTATCTATGAATAGAGGAAAATTCCTCTATATACAGTGGAATATAAGAGAAATATCCAACAGAGAAACATAAAACAATGGCTATGGAGGGAGATAATCTCCTACAAAGTATGAAGTAGCAGCTAATCAAGTAAAACTAGAAAGCAAATACCAGATAATTAGAAGATCCATCCTCTCCTCAAAATCAATCCCCTCCTCTCTGCCACTCGAATCCCTTTCCCCGTTTCTAACTACCAAAATACTGTAAATTACAAAACCCCTTTTTAATTTATAGTTAGCGATGAAAAACACGTGAATTAGCTACTATCATCAACCTTTTTTCAACATTTTGGGCTGGTACAGTAAACCCCAAGTATATTGAGATCTGTGTGTGAAGTAGTAAATTATTATATTATATGAGCGGCATAGTTTTATATTAAAATGCAAGTTTTATCCCCTTTTTTTAGGCACTACATGTTAATTCTATCTATTCAATGTAATTCTTCCTGTCAAATATATAAATGTTAAATGCTTCGGTGACTGATAGGATTCCTTAAAGGTAAATTTTCATGTATTTTCATTTTCTGCTTTCACGTTTTAATTTTTCATTATAAAACTGTTACTTTGTTTTCAATTTGATTTCTATTTTCAAAGATTTGTACAGTAGACACCAAAAATAACATTTTTTTGGTTCTCTGATGCGTTTCTCCCAGAACCAATTTGAGGATGCTTCTTGGGTGGGACTAAATGCTTTCTAAATTTTCTGAGAACTAGAAATTGAGTACAAAAATTGGGATTTGCTAAAAAATAAATTAAATAAAAAGATCTCAAACATGCAGGCTGCCTATGTAATGTATATAGCTGGGTTGGTAAAATATTAAAAATTCAGCAGTTGGCTGTCTTTAGTTTTGTGTTTTCAACCTTTGCTTCTTTGTTTCTGTTTACACTATGCCTAAGATAATGATTGAAAGAAGTTTACACTACCATCATACCATGTTTATTTCAGTTACTCCAGTGATTTTTTTCTCTCCTGTTCACTACAAGGATTTAGAGTTTGCCACTAACAAACAATCATATTTGAATTCATCACGTTCAAATTTACGCTTGTTTCTGGTCCTTGTTGGAAGGTAGGCACACCATTCTCTGGTCTAAAGTTTACTGACCAGCATAGAAGGCCACTATGTGATATAGTTAATGTCAAGTACTGCATTCTACTTAGAGAGGCTCATAATTGTTTCCATAATAATTGTAAAATTAATTTTAAATTGGGAGTGGGGAAAGATTGGGATGTTTGTTTTCTTACACTTAATTTTTAGTAATTTCCTTGAGAATCGGATGCATCCCATTTAATTGTTAAATGTTATTTTTTTATATTTTATTTGTAACTTAGAACGTGTTTGTTTCATAGCTTAAAATATTCTTCCTGAGAATGTGGGGTTGGGAATGTAGAATTCTAACGTTTGTTTCGAGTTTTTTATAATGTTTGGGTATGAGTGAGATTAGCTGGCTGGATTAGTCTCATTACACGTCTATTTATTTGTCTGCTGGCAATGCACCTCATTACATGTTCTTGTATATTGAAGATCCAAAATTTATCTGCAATGGAAGTGAATATTGTTCGTCCATTTATTGGAAGAGCTTTACAGGCTTTTCTTACGCATGATTGTCCAAGTTGATACCAGACCCAGAGAGTTTCTGACAGGCGTCCCCAAGATGTCAACAATGGCCCAAGAGTATGTTTTATACTCACTTGACAATGTTTTCTGCATTCATATAATATAACTTTTGTTTATGCTTCAGATGACTAGGGAATTTCTTTAAAGCTATAGACCTTTTACAGTCCTACTCATTTTTTTTATATCATTGATACAAATTCAATGGCTAAACTATAATTGATGATAAGGAAAAAGGTTTGGTATATCACATTCACATGCATTATCTTCATTCAAAGGAAAGAGTTTTAATGCAACTGATATTTTTGCTTTGCAGAGACAACTACAAAGACAGTCGTGTATCACCTTTTTGGTAACATCTCTTCTAGAATCGTAGTATCTGGCCAGCTTCAAAGGCGCATCTCTTCTTAAAAATACTTCCCAGCTATCTTTGTTGCTGATTTCACTGTAAAAGAATAGCTCGAGGCCTAGTTGGATCTTCGGAAAGCAATGTGGTTCCTCTCAAAATATCCTCATAATGATTGTTAAGAACTACAAAAAAAAAATGCACTTCATGCGAATTAGCATTGTTACACCCTATATACTTGTAGTTAGTTCTATTAGTAGTGTTAAATATTTAATGTCTATCTTGTGCTTGGTATTCTAGTTAGAAATTTTAGTTGAGAAGGAAATAATTCATATTTGCACCCATATTGTGTAATGCCTCCACATATCCAAACACTTTAAAGGTCATGAGCTATCCCTTGATAATTGTTCGTTGGTTATTCAATAATTAATTAAAACCCTTTGATTTCGCTTTACTTTGGCACATACTATCTTCTTCCTTGGATTACTCAATAATTTTCTTCTTTGGCTTCATTAATAACTTTTTTAAGGAGATATAGGAATATCTTCACTTATTTGGAACCCATGAAGTTAACTTAGATGTATAGGTTCTCTACTGATGTGGTTGGTGTTCGATAGTAAGTTAACTCATGAAGTTTAGTGATGATCAAAAGTAAAATATATAGGTTTAGGTCTAAAATGGACAATATCTTGAAGACATTTTTATAATACCTTATAAATAACACCATATAATAAACCCCTTGAAAAATATAACCAACAAACAAAATGCATAACATACTCTAACACATCAAATCCTGGGTTAGTGACCTTGCATATGTGGATCATGGAAAATTCCTTGTCTCTAAACATTGGACATGCCCATATAGACATCAGGTTGCAACTGGAAAATATTAACATGTCATCGTTAGCAGCAGCTAATCGAATAAGAAAATGTTTCTTAATCAAACTTCGTCTCTTTCATGTTCATCAGAGAAATTAGAAATGCAAGGAAGATATATATTTTTAAGTGTGAAAAAAAGGAAGTAATCCGCGGGGCAAAAGGAAAAAGAAACAAATAATTACCTGGTTAACAAGATGATTTTCATGGTCATAACCGATCATATTAAAATGGTGTAGGAATAGGAGAACCTCAACTTGAAACTCTTTCTCCCCTGAGAAATCATAGCTTTTTTTATCCCTCTAAATATAGTATAAGAATCTGTTTAAACTGTTGCCATAACAGAGAGAAAAATCCAATTTTATTGACAACAATATGGAAGAATATAACACACGGCAGACTCTAAAAATGTGCTATGTGAAGTAAAGATGATTGATATTCTCAATCTACGTAAGATGTTGAAATCATTAACATGTTATTTGGAGAGAAGCAAGATCTGCCAATAATAAGCATTTGAAGAAAACCACATTCCTGAATAACTTCACTAGCACTAGCACCATGCCCAAATTCAACTCAACATTTAATTTCTGCATTCAAACTCAATTCATTCCTCCATCTCTGGCGACCCTCAATCAATCCCCAGGCCCTAAAACAAGGCAGGGAAACCATAATGCCAAAAAATAAAAAAACGTAAATTGTTTTTTTGGACCATTTCTCAATTTGTGTTTGTCTACTGAAAACATGTTAATCTAAAACATGTTAATCTTCTCTGTATCGTTCCAATTTTATCGGATGTTACAAGCTATGTGATAATCTTGTGTTATATGAAAAGTGAATTATGCAACCATAAACGATGTGGAACTATAGACAAAGTCATGATGTAACTATTAACTAAAGCAAAATACACTATTTAATTTGAAATTTCATTTAATTTTCTGTTTATATCTCACTTGGCATTATTTCAAATTTTAGACAAAAAGGTCCTAAAATTCAAACCTAAGAGTTTGCCTATCTATACTAATACTAATATATAAAAGGGATATTCTTTTTAACAATCATTTTAGTCATTACATTTTGTTGATCATTAAAAAAAATAATATTTTTTTATCAAATTTAAGACTTCAACTCAAGACCTTGAAACTCATGAACTAATTATAGTATGAATTGGATCAACATACTTTTATTACTTAATTTTAATTTTATTTTTATTTTTAATAAAAATATGAAGTGTCTCGATCCTACTAATTTTTACAAAAATAGACATTCAGGAGAAAAAATAACGCTAATAGATATGATCATTG